TATATATATATATATATATATATACTTTTGAGAGTATATACATTTATATATATATATATATATATATATATATATATATATATATATACTTTTGAGAGTCTATATATATATATATGTATATGTATATATATACACACATATATATATATATATGTATATACACATATATATATATATATATATATATATATATATACTTTTGAGAACCTATATATATAGGCTCTCAAAAGTATATAATTAAAATTAAACATATTAATAGCAAATGAGAAGAAAAATGAGGTAAATGAGAGCCAAACGTTGATGTTGGAGCTAATATTTTATTAAACATTGGGAGAATAATAATGTTTGACAATGTAAACGCAAGTGCCGGATTTCCAGTTTTTTCAAGTTTTCCATTCTTTTAATAACGTACGTAGCGAATCAACCTTCCATGCCGACTCTATACCCTAATTTTTTTTATATTGTTTCGAACGCTCAAGGGTGTTGGAGCGAGCGCCGATCACTTGATCGACGAAATACCGATGCGCGTATCCGACCTTATCGCCATTGACGGCGATGCAACGTTCGTTGCATCTCAGCCTAACGCGAGTTGGCGGTGCGCGTTCTACGTTGTGGATGGCGAAACTAGACCACTAGATTAACGTTTCCCTGCGTCTCCACGTTGAGAAGAAATCCCCTTTCGGAGGATCTAATCGCGTTTGACCTCGGTGAGCAAGGTCGAATTAAGGCTCGAATAACGAAGGGCTGAACAGCCACGCGGATGAAGGTACCGCTCTCGCCTTACACGATCCGGGTCATAAATCCGGTCGTACTCTCGTACGCTCGCGCGAGCAGGATCGCACGAGGAGCCGAACTCGCCGATTTAAGGGCCTTGCCAGTTGCGCAAAGTGCACGGTCGCACTCCTGGCACTCCTGGTTCACGTCCGACCGGATAATTACGTTGCGCTAGGCGACGTGAAAAGCGAGCAAGTCGCCTTATACGTATCGCAGGCGCGACCGAGACTAAGTTCCTCGTGGAGTCGCTTCCTGCGACTCTTAGGCCCGATTTATAATAGATGGAGTAAGGAGTAAGAGTAAGACAAAATGGAAATAATTTATTTCGCTTGCTCTCTTACTTCAGCTCCTTACTTCAGCTCTTACTACTTAATTCAGGCTTACTCCATGTGATGTATACGGGCAAACTTTTATTGGAGTAAGGGAGTAAATAATTATTTCCATTTCGTCTTACTCCTACCTCCATCTATTGTAGATCGGGCCTTAGAAGCGAGCATGGCTCGCTCGCAAATAGATGGAGTAAGGAATAGGAGTAGGAGTAAGACGAAATGGAAATAATTTATTTCGCTTAGGCCCGATCTACAATAAAGTTTGCCCGTCTACATCACATGGAGTAAGCTTGAATTAAGTAATAAGAGTTGGAGTAAGGAGCTAAAGTAAGGAAGTAAGCGAAATAAATTATTTCCATTTTGTCTTACTCCTACTCTTTACTCCATCTATTATACTACTGTGTCCAAAAAGTAAGACCAATTTAAAATTTTTTTTTTAATCTTTATTTATTATTCCAAATCTATTTCGTCGCCTTCAAAGTAATCCCCCTCAGACACAATACACTTATGCCAACGTTTTTTCCAACCCTACGGTTGGAAACCGTATTACGTGATGCATATAAACCCTGCAGTGATAGATATAAACCCACCATCTCACACTGCATTGGTTCTTCAAGATCATTTCGCTAAAAATTCGACCCATATCGTTCCACAACCACTATATTCATCTGATTTAGCACCGTGTGACTTCTGGCTATTCCCTAAACTCAAAAGACTGCTCCGGGGGCACCGTTTTGACTCGATTGAAGAGATACAAGCTGAATCGAAGAAAGCTTTGAAGGCCATTCCGGAAATCGACTTTAACAACTGTTTCGAGGGTTGGAAAAAACGTTGGCATAAGTGTATTGTGTCTGAGGGGGATTACTTTGAAGGCGACGAAATAGATTTGGAATAATAAATAAAGATTAAAAAAAAAATTTT